AGTCACAGAGGGGTTAGGGATACAGGGGGAATACCTCAAGAAAATAAAAGGTATGTATGACAAACCTATAGCCAACATCATAAGAAATGTAGGAAACCTCAAAGCATTCCCGCTAAGATCAGGAAGAAGGCAAGGATGTCCACTCTCTCCTTCTAGTCAATGGAGTGATTGAAGCCTTAGGCAGAGCTAAGGAAAAGAATTTAAAGTATTCTTATTTGCAGATGACATGATTCTATGCATAAGAGACCTTTAAGCCTCCACTTAAAAAAACTCTTAGAGCTGATTAAACAATAATCATGTATTAATAAAAATTAATACATAAAATTGATAGCCTTTCTATATACTGGTGACAAACATATTGAAAAGAAAATCAGGGAATCAACCCAATTCATAATGATTACACACACACACACACACACACACACACAAATTTAAAATATAGGAGTGTTGTGGTGTGTGGGTCCTGGGAACTGAACTCAGAAATTCTAGAAGAGCCTCTCTTGTTTCTGTGATTGCTTTCTTGATTTTTTTTTAGTTCTTTGTATGTTTTAGAAACTTATTATATCATGTTCTTAGGACTACACCTAAGCAAGGAAACAAAAGATCAGCACAATGAAAACGTTAAGACATTGAATTGAGAAAGACACTGACATCTAAATGTTTAAGTCTATACACATAGATCTGTCCTAATAAAAGCAACCTACAGATTTAGTGTACTGCTAATAAAAATCCCAAGGACATTGTTCACTAATATAGAAAAAGTTAAAATGTATATAAGATCATAATACTAAGAAAAGTCAAAGCAATCCTGCACAAAAAGATCACTGCCAAATGTATTAGTATGTCTGAGTTCAAGTTATACTACAGAGCTATAGTAATAAAAACATTGCCATACTGGCATAAAACCAGACATAAAATAACAGAATCAGTAGAACAGAGGACCCAGATAAATGTTCATACAACTACAGCCACTTGCTTTTTGACAAAAATACCCCAAGTATATATTGGAGAAAGGATAGCATCTTCACCAAATGGTGCTGAGAAAACCTGGATATCAACATGCAGAGCAATGAAAATAGATCCCTATCTCTTACCTTCATGACTCAATTCAAAAACGGTTAGGGACCTCACCATAAGACCTGGTACTCTGAAACTGCTGGGTGAAGCAGCAGGGAGTCTGCTTCAACATAAAAACACATGTAGAGCCTTTCTAAATGGGACTCCATCAGCATAGGAAGTAAACAGAACAACTGACATAGGATTTCATGAAAATAAAAACCTTCTGTACAGCAAGAGAAACTGTCAATCTAATGGGAAGGCAATCCAGCAGTTGGGAGAAAAATCTTTGCCACCTATAAGTCAGACAGAGGATTAGTTTCAGGAGCACACAAAGAACCAAAAAATATCAAGAAAGCAATTCAATTTTTAAAATGTGCTACAGAAACTAGAGAGTCAGCTTGGTGGTTCACAGCACTTTCTGGTCTTCTAGAAGATCTGAGTTTAGTTCCCAGCACCCACACCAGGCAGCTCACAAACTCTGTAACTTCAGCACCAAGGGATCTGATCCCTCTTCTGTTCTCCAGGCATTGGTAGACACCCAGTCAGTCAGTCAGTCAGACAGACAGACAGACAGACAGGCAGACACACACACACACCCTTTTAAAAATCTTTAAGAAAAAACGTTTATAGAACTAAATACACTTCTCAAAAGAAGTACAAGCATCCAGGAAATACCTAAATGGTGTGCAACATAAGCAACCATTTGAGAACTGCAGATCAAAACTTTAAATAGATTCCATCTCACCCTGCTCAGGTGGCTATCATAAGGAACAATAACAACAAATGCTACTGACATGATGTGAGGAAAGGAGACAGTTTATACATGAAATGATGATCTGCTATAATACTGAGCTGCCAGCAAAATATGCCCACTGCTGCAACATGGGTGTTACCAGGGTAATCAACATCTTTCTGTCCACTGGAGGGAATTCATGCTTGATACTGTAAACCTTCCTGGTCAAAAGTCCATGACTGTGGATATCATAGGCCCTTGAGGGAAGCCTATTGCTATTAATAATAATAATAACAATAACAACAATAATTTTGCTAAATGTTCATGCTGCCAAACTGCCATCTCAGTATTTGTGTTCATAGTCATAGGTTTGCGTTGTTATCAGCCTTGCTTAGAAAGGTTCACAGTGGGTAGCAATAAATGCAGAGACTCATAGCTAGTTCAAGTGCTAGGAATGAGTGACAGCATTACTGTGTATGCAGCCTCATATGAGACATCCACAGCAGGGAATAGGGAGTATCATGGAAGACAAGGTGGGAAGAGCTTAAGAGCTGGCAGGTGGGGAGGAGTCCCGTGAAATTCTGTCTTCTGGATATGGCATGGCCATTGCTGTCATGAGTGCATGGTGGCTATGTTACTTGCACAAGACCTACACAAGATTGGTCCAGTCAAACTTCAGGTGTGAGAAATGATGGCAGTTGGTGGCTACTTGGAAAGGGAGAATTACTTTTTTCTGGGAGTGAGGCCACTGCTCAGTTTCCCAAGCTCCTGCAGATGGCCCTACACTCATCCTCAGATTGACAGTTGTAGTAAAAACTAAAAAGAAAAGGATACAAGAAGATGTGTTGGGGAGGTCTGGGGGGAGTTGGAGGAGGGAAGTGGAAAGAAGATAGAAATATATTTTATATGGGTTAAAAAAAAGCCACTAAGGACTGTGACTTTTTGCTTACTGGTCCTTCCCTGCAGGCTTCAGACTATAGCAAGAGGTCCACTCATCCCTCAGTCAAGCAAACACATTTGTTAATCACGTCTGTGCCTGGCTCTGCATGAAGAGCCTTGGGGCTTACAGTGGGTTTGTGAGACACAGTCCCTAGCTGAAGTGGCCAAACCAATTGGAGGCAAGACATTCATACCCCAAACTTGTGTGCTCCACATTAATAGGGCTTTTTCCTGATGCCAGAACCACTAGGAAGACTCAGATCAAATGACAATCTATTCATTTTCTGGGTATCCACTAAAAAGGATATCCTTACTCCACCAGTTAAATATGCTTCATAAACTCAAGACTTTTAGTTAAACAAAAACTCAGCTGGGCCCTTAAAGTAATGTTTCGTGTGGGTGTATTTGCTCTATTCTTTTTTCTTAACAAATTTCTATCTTATATATTATCCAAAGAATACATGTGATTTACCTCATTTTTTCATATCCTGTTTTATCTGGATAACAGACAGGACAAAGGTCAGGAGACATGCCACTAGCCACCTGGGCAATAGTAGAGAAATCTCCTAGCTGTACTAAGCCCCGAAGATTTTTCTAGAACAATAGATAAAACTATTTGTTCTGCCTACCTCACAGGTTTGTTGTAGAGATCAAGCAAAAACCATGTATATAGAAGTACCCTAAACAGTTTAAAGCAGCATTCTAATATAATGTATTAAACGCTTTGCCCTTTTCTTTGTTCCTATGGAGCCATATTCTGTGTTTGGCTTGTGCTTAGGGTAGAAAGCACTGAGGGTGGTGGTGGTGGTGGTGGTGGTGGTGGTGGTGGTGGTGGTGTGTGTGTGTGTGTCTGTGTGTGTGTGTGTGTGTGTGTGTGTGTGCTCCTAAGCACAGCTGAGCTTGTCTGAGTTCTTTTCCTGGAAAAGGTACTAGGGAATTCTGCTTATGTGGCATGTCTTCTGTTTGGACTGCCCATGCTGTAGAGCGGGATAACACCCACTCGGTTCCTCTCTCAGTGTAGAGGTGAGGGTACCCTAAATAATTCCATAAATTGTACCTTCCAACTGTGTTCAGGAGCCCTGGCTGGAATTTCGCGTGCACAGGTGCCTGTTTCCTTAAGGCATCAGAACACTAAGACCATAATTGTCCCCACCTTAAATTGTAACGGTTAGATGAGTTGACTATGGAATCAAGATTGGCACAAAATTAGTGGTTGATAAATGTTAGCCAAGGCAATGATGTGTTTATTGAGTCACTTGGCCCAAGGCTCTTCTTGGAATAGAGGAGCAAGACCCTGTTCCTGCCTCTAGAGAGGCTGAAGGGCTGTCGCTGCAATCGAACGTTATGAATAATAGGGGATTTAAAAATGCCCCAGAAACTTCTTTTCTAGGAAAAGTCCCTTTGGCTGACTTAGTCTAGTGTCCAGCCGGCCGGATGGGATAGAGGGAGTCTGCTTTAAGGTTTGGCCATGGGTCTTACTATTGCATTTCCTAGCGGTGAAGCGATTTCAGTCAGAAACGGTGAATTGAGTTTTAAGCCTAAACAAAGTTGTAAGTTGCGGGAGCCAGTGGGAAAATGAAAGTCCGAGGAACTTGGAGCTTCTGGTGCCCGCGCTCACAAAGCGGAAAACGGCTCTAGGAGCTTCCCGGGGCCTCCAGGTGAGGACTGCTGGAGGTTAGTCATCACTTACGGTGCAGATCCGAGAGCAACCGGATCCCCATCCCGCCTGCGCGCAGTCTAGGTGGCACGGATCTCGGCGGAGGCTCGGGCGTAGCTCCCCCAGGCAACAGTTCCACGTGGAGAGGAGGGGAAGTTTGGGTGCCCGCCGGGGACGTCTGGGCAGCAGACGGGAGCACCAGGCAGCAGACGGGAGCATTGAGCTGCAGCCTCGTGGTGGGCCGCACCGCCAAGCCGGGAAGGCGAGCACCGCGGGCCCCGCCACGGGACGCGCTCCCAGGCCCCCGCCCAGCGCACCCCACCCCCTTCCCCGGCCGCGCACGCAGCCAGCGGCCGCTGTCAGAAGTCGCCGGAGCCGCGTCGGAGAAGCAGGGCCGACTTTGCACCCAGGACCCAGGGCCTCGGATTTCTCCGGCGGCCTTGGAGGAGCAGCCCGGCCTCCCCTTGCTGGCTGCAGAGCGGCGCGGGCTTGGCGGGACGTCCCGAGAAGGCGGGCGGCTCGTGGCCACGGCCCGGCCCGGCTCCGGCGCGCCGAGGAGCAGAACCGGGGGCCGCCGTTCGCTCCCGCTCTGTCCCGGGCGCGCCGGAGTCGGGGTGGCTGCTCCGGCTGCAGCCTCGGGGACGCTGCTGTCCTCCGCTCAAGCCGCCCGCTCCTCTCGGTCACTTCGCGCCGCTCCGGACGCTGGGGGCGAGCTTGGCCATCAGGTAGGGAAGGCTGCGGGGTTCCTTAGGTTTCGGCTCGGGCGGGCGGGCGTGTTGCTCAAAGTTGATTTGAAATGCATCCAAGAGTGAGCCGGGCCAGTCGCGGCTCCTCCCTGAGGCGACTCCTTTGCTCCTGCAGACGTTCCCGGCACTGGCCGACCGGCGGGAGCACCTCCCCGCGCGCCCCGCACGCCCACTCCCGAGCACCCCCAAGCAGAGCGCAGCGCCAGGAGTACGGAAGCGGGCGGGACGGTCTCGAGTCCCTTACTCTGCCTCTCTCCGATTCAAGACAGGTGAGGGTCGGAACTGAGTGGCCGGGTCACGGGATATCCGACCTGGACGTGGTCCTGGCTCGGAGACGCACCCCCACCCCATCACTCGCAGTAGCACAGTTCCTGTAGAGGGGTCTCCAGGGGCCACATTAGTATAGGATGGGGCGGAGTCGGTCTTGGAGTGGGAAACCTGGGCACAGGGGTGGGGGTGGGGGTTAGGAGAACGCAGAAAGGGGGCGGATGCCTAAGTACATAACGCGTAGACTTCAAGTGAAATCAGATCCGTCAGAGCAGTTCACGGTGGCTCTTCTCTCTCCTCCCACCCCACGTTACCCTTGGCTGGACTCTGCCCTCCAGGCTCATTCTTGTCGCTCTGGACACTCCTTCTGTCCTTTCCCAGGAGTGTGGCAACTGAGGGAGCAGAGTCCCAGAAGGCACTGAAGCTAGACGCATCTCTTTCCCGGCTCTACAGGTCTTCCAGGTTCATCTCGAACATGTTGGACGGCCTGAAGATGGAGGAGAACTTTCAAAGTGCGATTGAGACTTCGGCCTCCTTCTCTTCCTTGCTGGGTAAGTAAGTGTTCAACTCCATTCGTCCCGTGGCATCCTCCTGCTGCCCGACTGAGACTTAGCACGTCAGCTCTCTGGTACCGGGTTAGGCGATCAACCTAGCACCCTCTTCGTGCACATAGCGGCTCCCGCTCTTGTTTTTCCGTGTCCATCAGTCTTTTTGAGTGGTCCCTACCATACAACCAGCAAATCTCCTCAGGCCTCATGAGCTCGACATCGAATTCCCCAAAGCCTTGAGGGGTGTGTGTGTGTGTGTGTGTGTGTGTGTGTGTGTGTGTGTGTGTGTGTGTGTGTGAGCATGTTCATAGACGTTTGAGTGGCAAGTGATTAATAATACCCAGGGCTGGATTTTTAATCAAGGAGCTGATCGACGGCTTATAAATGCCACCGGATTTTCAGAGGCCTTTGGCCGCGCATGGGCAGCAGAGGTCCGAGGCCCCGAAGCACCCAAGTTCTTCTCTTCCCCCACCAGCTCCAGTCCCAATTTTAGTATTGGGCATGGCCCAGGGGCTTTTCCGGGCTGGTGGGCAGCGCTGCTCTGGGATTAGCTTGCGCGGCGGGGCCCTCGCCTGGTCTTTAATTAACTGAAGCCAGAGCCCCAGTTCCACAAGCCCGGTATCCACTACCCCCAACCCAGCCACAGCGGAGGAGAAGATCAAGGGGTCCAGAACAGTCCCACCCGTGAGTCTTCCAGAGCTCAGGGTAGCAATTCTTGTTTTGGCAGTGTCTCCCCAATTTTGCTTTTTGGGTTTTCAAATTTGGGGGAAAGGTGTTTCTTTTCTTTATCTTTTCTTCTCTCCTCCTCTTTCTGCAGGAGAGATTTTTCTTTTGTCATTTAAAACTCTTGCTTTTTCCCCTAACTTTAGAACCAATAGGGTGGGTTGAAAATTTTTGATTGTAGAAATCATATCCAGAGAGAAATCGACAGCCCCACCCCCCAACAGTCCAGAGGAAACGAAATCACAGAGCCGGTGTTCCCTTCCCTCAACACCCTTTTGAAAATGCCAGGATCCTCTCTCTGGAGCAAGAAGACACAGGCCAGTGCGCCTGCGGACTTTGGTGTTTCGGGTTTAGTTCCCCAAGCCTTAATGACCCAGGTTCACTCTAACACCAGGATGCTGGCCTGGGATGCTGATTCCAAGAGAACAGAAATTTACAGTTGCTGTAAATTTCCCCAGTCCTTCTCGATATCATCCTACTCCATAAAACAACCTGTCCGGGTTACAAGCTGGCGGCTGTTCCCCAAAGCAGAAAGTGAGATTAGTGTAGCTGCCGAACGCAGAAGGACCAGTCCTTTGGGACATCATGGACAAGAGTGTTCTTGTGGCAGCACAAGGGTTTCTTTAAACGGTTGTGAAAAGTGTCAACAAAGGCAGCTGAGTATTCTTCCCACTGTCCCGTGTGTGTGTGTGTGTGTGTGTGTGTGTGTGTGCATGGGGGGCTCACTAAAACAAGATCGGGAGGGGAAAAGTCGAAAAGGTCAAGGGGTAGGGCAGAGGAGAGTCCCTGACCGGGCTGAGAGCAGGATACCTTCTGAGTAGAGGGTGTCTAGTACTCTGACCTGCACGCTCCCTTCCCAGTCTGTACACCCAGCTCTCATTTCCCCCCATCTTGACATTTCCTAATTATAAAAAGCCACCCGCAGCTTGCACGCCAACCAAGTCATAGGAAAGATTCGCTAGTTGGAACAGTACTGAGCTTGCTTGGGGAGAGATAGTATTTTTCTGCACTCACAGATTTTTTTCTTTTTAAAGAAAATGATAGTTTTCCTTTTAAAAATAGAACGCACTTGCAAACAAAATATTATTGATCATTTAAAAGTAGTCCAAGGACACAAACAATGACTTAATGATTGATGAATGTCGACTTGAGAGTCCCGGGAGCACAAATTATTTGTAACCTAATTTTACAGGATGCGTGAATGGTACCTGAGTCTGTTTAATAATTAAGGCTATTTATTGACTTCAGCCCTCTTCCTAGCTAGAATTTGTATCTTGCGTCTTAGTCTTTGTTTATCAGTAATGTCATTGCCACATGGTTTAATTTTTTAAAATATTTGATCATCGGGGACCTTCCTGGGGGATGCATGGCCCGGGGGTAAATCTATGAGCCTGATCGATCGCGAGAGTGTTTCCGAGGGGTTGGCTTGCATATGTGGCTCATGGGCGAACGTCTCTTGCTGCTGTAGGCAGAGCTGTGAGTCCCAAGTCTGTCTGCGAAGGCTGTCAGCGGGTCATCTCGGACAGGTTTCTGCTTCGGCTCAACGACAGCTTCTGGCATGAGCAGTGCGTGCAGTGCGCTTCCTGCAAAGAGCCCCTGGAGACCACCTGCTTCTACCGGGACAAGAAGCTTTACTGCAAGTACCACTATGAGAAGTAAGTGCTTTCGTCTCCGGAGCGCGCCCATTCACCCGCACCGGTGTGCGCTGGGGGGACTTTGTCCTCCGGCACTCTCTTTCTTTCGCGAGGCATAAGATATACCCGCAGGCCAGACCAGGAAACCTGACGCGCCCCGCACCAGCGTTCCATACGCGCGCCGTGGTTGCGGGGAAGAGCCGCGCTGTGTCGTTTCATTTGGATCGCGCATACTTACTTTTTAATTATTCCAAGTTCCTTAACCCCGGGCCGGGCCATTCCCAGAGATCACTTTCTGTGGGCCTGGGACACCTTCAAGCTTAGTCCTGGAGAGCCCAGCGGACCACCAGTGTCCAGCGACCTTTTCCATTGCATCTTACTCAAGTGTTTGCGCCACTCTTGGGTTTGTACTCAGCGGTAAGGCAAAGGTTTCTGTCCCTTGGGCACATGTCTCGCCCTGGTTTGGGCATGTCGGTTTTGGAAGTGGCTTTCCTGTTTCAGTCCTTAGGGTTTCTCTGAAGCTGTCAGGTGTTGCGGGCTCTGGGACCCCGGAGAAGTTGGTAGGTCAGAGGGAGTCTGACCTAAAGCCTCCAGCAGTGTCTCCAGGCAGCTCTAGACTGAGCAGGTTTGATTCTTCCCCCCCCCCCCCCCGTCAAACTGGGGAGCGGGGTAGGTAATGAGGAGAGAGGTTCATAGAGTTCTGAAATGCCTCAGGGAATGTGGTGTGGCAGGGTGTTCTTCTCAAAGGAGAGATCAGGAGGAGCCCGGACGTTGTAAGCAGAGGAAACTGCTTTTCCTTGCAAGTTTGGCCAATTCGTAGGGACTTTGGTTGTAGAGAGCCAGAAGGAAAGAAAACTGGCTTAGCGCTTGTCTGTTTTTGTACACTAGGGCTGGCATGTGTGGGTATTCGCGTGTGCACGGAGGAAATGCAGCCCTTTTCACTAGTGAAGGAAAGAAGACGGCCGCTATGGGGGGGGAGGGGGGAGGGGGAGTCTGAGGATGGTCGGTGTGTGTGAAACATAACTGCTATGATTTCACAGCGAAAAGCAAGTGTTAGAGTGCTTGCTACAACAACAAAAAACACGCGGAAGAACAGAAGTTTGTTACTTCCATATCATCTGGGCTGTCAGGGTTACTGAAAAGTAGACCAAGTCAGACCTAGTAAATGCCACCGCTCTGCCACCACCAGAATACCCCTCTCTGCTACTCAGAATACCTTTGCTATACATAAATGCTTGACTTTTACCCCCATTCCAATAGAACACTAGGCCTTTCTGTTCTTCCAGAAGTGCTTTACATTTTTTTCAGAGCTTAAAAAAAGATACATACTTGAGTTTATGTGATTTAGACAATACAGAAATCCGCAAAGAAGCGAAAACTCGCCTTGAGCGTTTGTGTTAAACCGTTTTGAAAGAAGAAATGGTGAGATGCCGCTGCCTTTGCTGGCTTGGCTGCTTGTAGCGTCCGGAGTCTGAGTAAAAAGTGTGATTTTTAGGTAATTAAGTGGATTTGGTCTATACAACCTCAAGTGGACAAAGGCTGGTGCCTGCCCGCCTTTTTCTCTCTTGCTTCTCATGGAAAGGTTTTGGTATTGTGCGGCCCAATCTTTATCTGTCTGCTTATAGACTGGAGAAAGGTCCACATCCTTCAGGCACTTCTAGCAAATTCAAAAGTATTGGAGCTTAGGCGAGGATTTGGGTTGTGATTTTTCTTTTCTGTTTGTTAAAAAAGAAAATCATGAATCAGAGACGGCTCAAGGGTCAACACAGCTGTCTGGCCAGTCAAAGCTCCTTTAAGGAAGTCAGGCTGTGTCAAGAGGAGAAGAAACAGTTGTTGTAAAGTACTTAGCACAACAATATCCCTTCCATTTCAGCCCTCCAGGTTTGGGCTTATTAGCTGAGAGGGTCAGAAAATTGCAGGGATCAACTCGCCAGCTGTTGGCCAGAATCGGGATTTTATAGAGGGTGTGAGCGACATTGTTCAAAGAGGTGTTGGTGTGACAGGGAAAGTTTTTTTAAAATTTTAATTTAAAACTATTTACTGACACATGGATATCCAAAATGAGTTTGCTGGGCACAATCTCAGAGCAAGTCTGCCCAGGCCGCCGTCAGTGGCTGTTTGAGATTCATTTATTCCTCTCTGAAATTCCTTCTCTCTTCTAGTCCCAATCCCAATCCCATTCTACTCTCAACAAATCAGGGTTTTAATGTACTCGATACTCTTAACGGTTTTTAGGACACTTGCTGTAAGAGAAAGTGAAGCAATGATTCCCCTCCTCACTCTCTCTTTACCCTGGGTTCAGGAAAAAAAATCCTTTATTCAGCAGGCATTTAGGAGCTTCCGTATGTAAAACACTGGTTGTGAGGAGAGACATTAGAAACATACTGGAGCCTGCCTGCTGGAGGCTTCTAGCCTGGCAACTGCTTTACCCCGACTATCACAGGTTTCCTGGAAGCTTCCTTCACTTCCACAGGACTAACTATTAACCAAAAGCTTTCTGGAATGACCACGTGTTTATCCTGGAGGATAGAGCTCAGTTGGGGGAGTAATAGTCATGAAACTTATAGAAAGCACTTTATTGCAATAGTAAAATAGCTCCCTTCTCTCTGTGTATGATTCTTCAATACTTGAGTCCCAGATAAAGCAATGGAGAGGGGAAATGAGCTGTGTGGTAGGAGCTAAGACAGCAATGAGGGCGAGTTAGAAAGCATCTGATAGAAAAGTGAATATTAGGCAGTACTTCAGTGCCCCAAATTTGTAAAGTTCAAGTGCTAATTCCACAAATTGAAACAAAGGAATATGTCACTGATGTTTACTCTCTGATGACCATCATGAGCACAGGTTTAGCAGGAGAGGTTATCACATTTATTTCAGCCATTCATATGCATATCTGGACGTTGGGAAATTCTGAATTTGAGTTGGGATTATGACCTGTGCATCCCTGTGTCAGGTCAGACCTTCATTTACATGGAAAGGGATGTGTGTGTGTGTGTGTGTGTGTGTGTGTGTGTGTGTGTGTGTGTGTGTGGTGGATAATAGGAATAGGAGGGAAGCTGGGGGGGGTGAGAGCAACTAGAATCACTTGATACGTGTATAAAATTGTAAAAGAGCCACTTCAACACAGTTATTTAAAAAGCCAAAATTCCATCCTGTCAACGACTTGTTTTCACTTTCACCATGCGAAACATCAACTTTTTCTCATTAAAGAAACAGATTGATGATGGCATCTTGGACAAGATTGTTCACTTGAAACCTCAGGATGCTTTGCTGGGTATTGGCCTCATCTACTATAACACCCTTAGGAGTACTTTACTTTTCACTTATCCAAAACAAACAAGCATTCAAGGCCGGGATGTAGAATGGCGATTAATGAACACCCAGAAATCAAAGCTGGGGGTGACTTGCTGCCCAGAATTTCATCAAAGAAAAAGAACTAGTTCTATGAAAAGCCAACACTGATGATATTGATGAAGCTGTGCTCTGAGATACACCACTCGAGGTGGTATAGGTGTGGATAGTTCAGGAATGGATTCAATTTGCTTCAGCATTCCTGAAAGTTAGCAGACAACCAACTATTTTCCAGCCTGGAAGACTTCTATTTATGTAGCCATTGTTCCCTATTTAAGTGAACCTTCTGTGTCCTGTTAGTTCAGAGTTTTCCCTGAGTCAGTTCCAAACAAACACTGTAGGCGTGCTTCAGGCGGAGACAGAAGAGGCCGTGGGATCACAGAAACGTGGCAATGTGATAGATAATTGAGCCTTCTGGATGGCGTCCCACTTTTAAATCAAATTTATATTGCTTCTTTCATGTGCCTGGTGGCTCATGGGTCAGGCAGGGCCCTCTCTCCTCACATATGAAGTTTATCATTGTCACTTGGATTGTTTTGGACGTCCTGGGAGTAGAGTAGGGTAGTATTGCTGTCATCAGAGCTGTTCCCACAGTACTGTACTCCCCACATGTCAGCAAATCGAAGCTTGGGGAAGCCTTTCCTCTGAGGGACTACTCATGTTTTCTTTGGAGCAGATCAGTTGTCTGTCCAGAGAAAAGGACAAGCATGAGGGAAAGTAGATGTCACCCCACTTACAGTATTCTTTGTCTCTTTCTTTTGTCCTGAGGCTTGTCAGCCCCAGGTGAAAAAGACTTAGGCAATGCTATTAGGACTGGTAATGAACCCATTCCGCATTCTATCAAGGTGGTGCGGGAGGTGTGTATGGAGGAGTTAGATTGTTCTGTTCTATTATTATTATTATTATTATTATTATTACTATTATTATTGTGATGTTACTTAGAGATCAAAATTGGACACGCAGTTCTTCGTAAAAGGAACCACAGGTGAAATTACAGAGCCGTTGGTAGAATGCACCCTCCACCTTGCTTTTTGTTGGCCTGGCTCCTGGCGCAATACCATTTAAGGCATATAAAAATCAAACCCAGCTGGGGAATCAGTTTTGTCTGCATTGAATTGTAGGGGTTTAGCTCACATTGAGAGCAGTCCACGGTTGTGGCTGTGCTTATGCAACAGACTCCTCTCTCTCTCTGTTTTAATTCTAGAGGATGATTGAAATATTTCTTACTTATAGAGGTGGTTTTACTTCTTATATGTGTTGGTCCATGGATAAGATTTGTTTGGAATCTAAGACTTAAAAATAGAAATTCGGTAGTTAGAGCGAGCATTGACAGTGTTCCGGGAGTTAGGCTATTGGGGATGAGCATGGCTATGGGGCTTTTTTCCCCTTACTTTAACAGAACACACCATGAAAGGTGAATTTTTTCCAGGCTGTTTTTACAAACTGTAGAGTTCTGAGACCATTTTCCTCCATGTGACTAGGAAGTATCATTCAGTATTCATTGACTTCATTGACAATGGCTTTTCTCATAGTTAATTATTTGCCTTACATTTCATTTATAATGCTTGCATCTACCAAGACTTATATCAAGGAGGGATATCTACTGTTGCATTTTTAATTTTAATTTTTGGACATAACGATCTGACATATCTCCCCTCCCCATTTAACAGTGA